TAAATTGGCCGTCTGTTGTGATTGCAGCTTTTCGACGTTAAGCTTTTGTGTTATTCCGTTTAAGTGCAGTACAAGACTGTTTTGTTTATTTCAATTAAAGTGACAGTGATGTCAACGTAAAGTAAGTTACATGTATGTGTGTAGGGGATGCCATAGTTTACATATATATAACATCTCCCTTCTTAATTCATATACTAAGTAAATTCATTAATAATTTATAATTCAATGATTAAAAAAAGTTCAAATATTCTAATATACCAATAACTATAATCGTTTTCGCAGCCATTTCGAATTTCGCCGGTAAATGGTTTGGTCTTCTAGTTCGATCCAGTATGATCTAGGTGAATCGTGTGTGTCGATGATTGTAGCTTTTACCCATCCCTTATTGTTGTTCTTATACCATATCTTGTCACCCTTCACAAAGGATTTTTTTTGCGATGCAGAACGATCGTAGTATTTTTTTTGACTTGTAATTTTTTGCATTTATGTTGTTAGATATATTCGGAATGATTCTTGGTTGAAACAAAGTTGTTTTTGTTGGCAAAAGGGTGCGGGTTTTTCTACTCATTAAAAGTTCCACTGGTGAAGCATCAATATCTTTAAGCGGTGTATTGCGATATTCGAGTAAGGCCAGCCATAACTCTTTTTTACTCTCATTTGTTTTCTTTATTAAGTTTTTTGCTATCCCAACGAAACGCTCAGCAAAACCGTTGGATTGCGAATAACCAGGGCTTGTTGTTGTTAATTTAGCTCCAATTTGATCACAAAATCGTTTAAACTCGTATGAATTGAAGGGCATATTGTCTGAAATTATTTCTACAGGTAATCCGTGTACGGCGAAACATGTTCTAAGTGCATTGATACACTCAGTTGCTGTTTTCGATTTCAACGGCGCTATGTCCAAATATCGCGAGTAATAATCCGCTATTATTAAATAGTTTCTTGATGCAAATTCACAAATGTCTACGCCTATTTTATTAAAGGGTAGATTGGGAATGCTGTGTGGTATCATTGGTTCCTTAACATTAGCGGATCGACTTCGCTGGCATATGTCACAATTGGTTATCATTTTCTCAATAGCACCATCAATTCCTGGCCAGTACACTAATTCGCGAGCGCGCTTTTTTGTTTTTTCAATACCTAAATGAGACACGTGCAGCTGCGATAATATGGTTTCTCTCAAAACAGGCGGTACAATAACCCTGTTATTCAAATATAAGATACCGTCTTCTAAAAACAGATCAGAACGATGCTTCCAAAACATTTTAATATCGTCACATAACAACTCTTTCTTATGAGGCCAGCCATTTATTAAAACTTGTTTCAACTGCGTTAAATGCTTATCTTTTTCTATCTCGATTCGAAAACTGTTTAGGCGTTCGTCGGTGATGTTTAATGAATGGACGAATTCGTTAAGATCTTCAATATCGGGCGCGTTATTGTCCTCATCAAAGTATCGAGACAACAGATCAGCGATGTATAAAAATTTTCCTGGAACGTGGATCAAGTTTAGGTCATATTTAATTAAACTAAGTTTAATGCGTTGGAGTCTAGCGGAAGGGATTTTGCAAAATTCTTTTTTCATTATCGAAACAAGGGGCTTATGATCTGTCCTAATCGTAACCTTTCGACCATAGATGTAATAGTGAAATTTACGACAAGCAAATAAAATGGCTAAAAACTCCTTTTCAACCTGAGCGTAGTTAATTTCGGCGTCTGTAAGACTGCGTGATGCAAATGCGATAGGCTTTCCGTTTTGCATGAGGCAACACCCTATGCCAGATTTAGATGCATCTGTTTCGAGGGTTATTTCTTTTCTTTCATCAAAAGATTGAAGCGTTGGTGCGTTTGCAATTAGTGTTTTTATCGACTCTAAGCAACTTTCGTGAGCTGAATGCCATTCATACACGACATTGGATTTTAGCAATTCTCGTAACGGTTGTGAAATACTAGATAAATTTGGTATGTATTCACGAATATAATTTATCATGCCGAGCAATTTTTTGCAAATCTTTCTTATTATTCGGTTTTTTTATTTTCATTATCGCTTTTACTCGGTCAGGATCACAGCGTATGCCCTCTGGTGAAATAATTTTTCCTAAATATTTGACCTCTGGTACCTTATATTGAATTTTCTCGACATTAAATTTGATATTCAACTTCCTTGCGCGAGCCATAACTAGCTTTAATGTGTGGTCATGCTCTTCAACACTTTTAGCTGCAATCAATATATCGTCAATGAAGACTATTACATTTGGAATATCATCAAAATTTCTCTCATTGTATTTTTGAAAAACCTCAGGGCCTATTTTTATACCATATGGCAAGCGCTTGAAACGATAACACCCAAACGGTGTATTGAAAGCACAAAGTTTACTAGCTTTTTCACTAAGTCCGATTTGCCAAAACCCTTCTTTCAAATCCAACACAGTGAATATCTTACTATTAGCAATACGTACCGATATAGATTCAAATGATGGAATCGTATGATTTTCCGATAAAATGTCTGCATTTAAATCTTGCGGGTCTATGCACAAACGAAGTTTACCTGATTTCTTCTCAACAACTACAAGATTAGAGGCACGTTCAATAGGACCATCCATGCGTTCAATTATTCCATTTTCTACCATTTTGTGTAACTCATTTTTTGACTTTTTCTGCTAACGACTGTGGGATTCTCCTTGCTGGTTTTACCACCGGAACCGAATTTTTCTTTACCTGGATATCCAAGTTCGTCACAAAACATCCCGTGCCTTCAAAAACATCTCTATAGTTTCGTATAAATTCATCCCTTGTTGCTTCACGAATGACGTTTACACGCTTTATAAGATTAAGCTGCTCACACGCTGATAGTCCTAACAAAGGTTCGTATGGTGTATCAACAACCGTGAATTGTAAAGTCTTTATTTCATTTCGGCACATCACTAAACATTGAATTACACCTTTGTAATCCAACTCAGCTCCACTATAACTGCGTGGTGGCAAACCACCTTCATAGAGCATCGTATTTTTCATGTATTTTATAAAATACTTGTAAGGCAAAATATTAACGTCGGCACCCGTATCCAACTTAAAATTTATGAGGCAATCATTCACTCTGATTTTTTCATACCATCTTTTCCGACCCACTGATAAGTCTTCAATATTATGCAAAACAATATCATCGCCACTTTCCCTTTTTTCGTCACTCTCTTTTATTTCGTGAACTTGTGAGCTATAACACGCAACGCTAAAATGATTTAAACGACCGCAGTTGTTGCATTTTTTCCCGAAGGCTGGGCATTTGCCAAACTCATGAACCCCTTTACAAAATTTACAATTAGCACTTTGTCTTGAATTATGCTTAACTCGTACATTTTCTTTGCTCAAACTTTTAGTATTTTCTATTGTATTGCGCGCACCGCTATTTTGCGAAATTTGTTTGTGTGATCTTATTGCATTCACTGTTGTGCATTTGCTTTGTTGTTGCATTTCATTTGTATATTTGTCCACTAGCTCAGCAGCGCGCGCGATTTCAATGGCTCTGCTCAAAGTCAAATTTTCTGTTTCTAAGAGTTTTTTCTGCAGCTTTTGACTGTTTGTCCCAATAACAATGTTGTCTCGAATCATTCTATCCATGTCCGTATACCCACAATGTTTCACTCTTTTGCGCAAGTCAAGCAAATACGATTCGAATGGCTCCCCCTCCTCCTGCTTCCGCGAATTGAATCTAAAAGCTTCATACACCTCATTTTTTTTTGGCGTGCAGTAATTTTCAACTGCCGCAAAAACTGCATCATAATTCTTCTTCTGTTCCACTGTAAGTCCAAAAGTGTTAAAAATTTCAATTGTTTCTGGACCACACGCATTGAGAAATATTCCAACTTTTTGCTGTTCTTTTCTTTCTTCCAAATCAATGGCTATGGCGTATATATCAAAATTTTGTTTGAAAACACGCCATTGCTCTGCAACATTACCATCAAACTTTAGGGGATCAGGGCGTCTCACATCCAAACTACCATAAGTGCTGCTACTATTGGCCATTTTGAAGTCATCACCTTCGTCGTCCGTGCTGTCTTCGCTTTTATCTTGCTTCAATTCAGCCCCACTCCGTGTTTTCATTCCTTATTCGGCTGCGCCATGTGTTATTCCGTTTAAGTGCAGTACAAGACTGTTTTGTTTATTTCAATTAAAGTGACAGTGATGTCAACGTAAAGTAAGTTACATGTATGTGTGTAGGGGATGCCATAGTTTACATATATATAACAGCTTTCCTTGCATTGTTGGGCGCACATTTTTTGCTGCACAGAGGCG